AACAATGAATCATGGAACACTTCATCTAGAACTAATGATGTAATGTATGGGGATTAACATAAGAATAAAAAAAAAAAAAGAAGCTTAACTCTGAAGAACAAGTAAAATTTTTGGTACAGTAGCCTCTTTAAAAAAAACCAAAAAAGTAGAAAATGTAATTATTTTAATTCCTTTTAAAGGTACAGAAATTTATAGTGTCATTAGTTTTTAGACAATAAGGAAATGCTTTTCCATACTCAGCTTATGATTTTCAAAAAGAGTACCTGAATTTTTCTTCTTGATGGGAACCAAAAGGATGGCCCCAGGCAAAGGTAAGGGTGCAGCAGGGAGAAAAATGGTAAAACCCACTTTTAAATTCAAAAGGATCTTACTTCCAAGAGGAAAGTACCTGCTTAAAACCCATCCCGAAGATGAGACTGCTTACCTCTCTTGTCGGCACCAGTACCAGGGCATAGGGGCCGTCACTGCGCTATCGACACAGAAGGAAAGAAATGATGTGAGGATGGATGAAGGTCACAGGCCTCCAGGTGGACAGAACTTGAGGGTGGCCACTTGCACACATCAGCAGCAGTCTCATTAAGAAAGGGACTCCGATGCCCACTACCCTTATCATTATGCAACCTTGTTCTAAAGGTTCCAGCCCATGCAATCAGACAAGAGAAAGAAATATGAATAAATCTGGAAAGTAGGAGGTAAACCTGTCATTGTTAGCAGATGGTATTTTATCCTTAAAAACAAAACAAAAAAAACCAACCTGAAGAGAATCAACTGAAAATCTACTACAAAAAAGACAACTCAGTGGAGTAGCTGAATGCAAAATTAATATACACGATCTACAGCCTTCTGATGTAAAAAAGTTACAAAACACAATGGAAGGGGGAAAAAAAAATCACAGCAGAGCAGCAACAAGAAGCTTGACAAAAAATGTTCAAAATCTGTATGACAGACATTTTAAAACACTTCTGAGGAGCATAAAATAAAATTTGAATAAATGGGAAAATGTATCCTATTCTTGGATACGATGCCTCCATATTACAAATACACTAACCCTTAGTCAACCCACAAATGTAATGCAAACCTAACAGAACTGCCACAAATATGCATATATGCACACAACATATATAATACTTATATTCAGACAAGCTGATTTCAAAGTTCCTATGAAGAATAACCAAAATATGTCTGAAAAACATCAGATGTTAAAACAATTTAAAACTACCGTAATTTAAAAAAAATTGATACTGGCATATAAATTGAGATTACAACAGCAAGTAGAACAGAATCAAGTATGCACAGAATTACAGGAAATAATTTTGTATCAGTAGGGAAAAGATAAATTATTCAGTCTTCAAGAACAAAGTCAGAAAAGTCAAGGTGGAATCAAGTCAGCCTTTTTACAGATGACATAAAACTCAGAAACTATAAAAGAAAACACTAATAAATTCTATTATGTAAAAATTGTTAACTTCAGAATGGGAAAATAATACCTAAACGAAATCAAGTATAAATGACAAAATGAAGGGAAAACACGCCACACATAAGAGAAAGGCCCAATTTCCTTAGTTTACAAAGGTCTGTGATTCAAATAAAAAATAAAAATAAAAAAGACCACAACAACTTAAGTAGAAAAATGGAGAAAGAACGTAAATAGCCAATTTCTGGAAATAAGAATTCAAAACATGGCTTTCACACATGTGAGATGTTCAACTCCACCGTCTGTCAAATGAGCCAAACCAACACAGCTGGCAGTGTCATGAGGGCGCGGGCGAGCAGGGGCTCCTGGGTGCCCTGCTGCGGGGAGCGCACCGTGGCTTCACCCACTGGACGTTCAACTGCGGCGTCATCTACCAAATAAACATGCCACTTCCACTTCGGGGGATTTCTCTAAAAGACGCACCCATAAGTACGCATAAAAAATAAAACATTTTACAGACTGTGCAGTATGTAGTAGAGCCTTGTTTGTAGCAAAATACTGACATAACGTAAATTCTACCAACGAGGGACTGATACAGTAACTTATGGTGGCGACAGGCAGCAGGATACTAGGCGGCCATTAAAAAAGCAAGGCAGATGTGCAGGGCACTGCTAAGAAACTATCCCCAAACATACCAAGCGAACAAAAGCAAGGTACAAAACATCACGCACAGCAAGCAACCACTTGTGTATCAAACCAAACACAACAGAAAAACAAACACACAGAAGCTAAAGGGGGAAGGGAACTCTGTATGCTCACACTTGCTCTCTCTGCAGAGATGAGCCCCAGGAGGACCTGGCACCCCACACCCCGAGAGAGCTGTGCCACGTAGGGGAGAGGGGGTATAAGACTTACTTCCCACCATGTACTGTTTGGTACTCTTTTTAATTTTTTAACATATACATTATACCTAAAAAAACAATAACAAAGATAATAGTAAGAGAAAACAAAAAAAGTAACCCGATAAAGGTCTCAAAGTCAGTGGTGTCTTGCATCTCTAAAGTGCTCACAGACACCTAGGAATTAATCAAAACAATGTTGGTGCAGAAGCTAAGTGCAGGTTTAGAGCAGATTCAATTACAAGCATGGTTTTCATGTTTTGCATAGGTAACATTTACACACAAGGAGAAAAGGATTTGGAATTCAAACTAGAGCCGTCTGTACTCGACATCAAGTCTGCGAGGCCCAGGCGAGGAATGGTAAACATGTTCATACAACAGTATCAACATGCCACAGTGTGACGTTAGGAGATTCTGACATTTCAAAAGGTGTTACTACACAGAGAAGAAGAAAGAAAAATCAATTCCTCGCAGGGCAGAAGTGAGTAAAGAAGGATGGATGTGTTGTTAAAAAAAATCAGAGCCCAAATAACTGAAAGAGTGAAAACACAGAAAAGCAATCCGTTCCCATTCCAACACCAAAGTAATTTACGACTCTGCTGGGTGCCTTGAGTTTGCTGCTCCCTCCAGATAGGTTTTTTACAGGTCAAATCATTTTACAATGAACTCCAAGGGCCTCTATTGAATATTACTTGAAATAAATGAACTAAATTTGGACTTAGAAAACTCTTTTTACAGAATATTTCAATCTTTGAAATAGATGGAATAAATAAAAATGACAACATGGCTGGTGAACATATCTAGATATAAGCAAATCAAATCGTTGCCTTTCAAACTAGCCACATGCCCATGTTGTGGACGGTGACAACTACCGCTTCATGAGCAGGTACTGTTACTAAAAGCTGGACACCAGCTCTCCACGCTCCACGTGCATTAGCTCAGGAGCCTCAGGGTTACCCTGGGAGACACGCACAACAGGTGAAGTCACTGAGGCACAGAGGGATGAAAAGGTTTGCCTAAAGACACACTCGCACCCAGGCTTTGAGCAGAGCTGCCCACCACATGGTCTCCCTTAGGTACATACTCTAATCTCTCCTGTCCTCAGGTCACCGACCTATGAAATGAGACAATTGGGCTGGAACTACAGGACCCATGCCAGCTCAAATATTCCCCAACTCTCCAACCTTACAAAAAACCAAAAAAACCAAAAATCCACTGCTGGCAAGAAATTCTCCTAGAATTTATAAATGGATAAGACTTTCCCACATTATTGCAATACCTGGCCTCTCTCCTCTAGCGAGGTACCAGTACAATGCTAAATCCTTTATATGAATTATCTTACTGAAAAGTGCCCAATGGGAAAAAAAAAATCAGTCACCTGTAGGAAATAAATTCCTTACTTCTCCAACTCAGAGGAAACCAGTATTAATAGTTTCTTTCTTGTCTTTTTATGCACACAGAGTATTATTTATGAAATCAGATCAAACTGTACATACTGTTTTGTACCCTACCTTTTTTCAATTTCATATGCAAGAAGACTTGTCAAGTTCACAAAGAGAAATTGAAAAAAATACCACTTTTAACGTCTATGTAAGGTTCCATCACTTGGATGTTGTGTAGGATTTGTTTTATTGATTTAAAATTATTTAAATAAAGTACAATTTAAAAACTCATTTCAAAATAAATTTAGGCTTACAAAAAAATTACACAAATAGTACAAAGAACTCTCTTATACCCTTCTCCCAGCTTCCTTATGCGGTTATTAATTCTCAAAATCCCAGTACGATGATCAAAACCAGGGAATCAGTACTGACGTGAAACTCTGAATTAATCTGCGGCCCGTATTCTGACTTCACTGACTGACCTTGCAGCGTCCCCTCCCCAGACAGGACCCAGTTTAGGGCCACGTGTCACACTGAACTGTCACGCCTCCTTCGTCTCTTTTAACCTGGGGTAGTTCTTCAGCATTTCTGTTTTGGATGACCTTAATACTTTCGAATAGTATCGGCCAGTTGCTTTGGAGAAGGTCTCTAGATTTGCGTTTGTCTGATATTTGCTCAGGATTAAATCCGGGTGACACCTTTGGGGCAGGACAACCATAGAAGTGGCGCTGGGTCCTCTGGGCACCTATCTGGAGGTGCATGAGGCCGACACGTCCCAGCACTGGGGATGCCCACGCTGATCGCCTGGGTAAGGTGGTAGCAGCCAGGCAGGCTCCCCATCGTAAAGTGACTGTTTTGCCCTTTGTGATTAAGACATATCTTGTAGGGAGATCCTTTGAGACTAACTAGGTAAATATCCCATTTTTCATCAGACTTTCACCCCCTCATTTCAGCATCTGTGACGTGTGACACAGTATTACTAAGGCAATGGCCAGACGGTGATGCTCTACTCCATCACTTCTATGTTTCTCCGCTGGAATTCTACTGTGCAGAGGGTCTGTCCTTCTCCCGTCTGCTTATCTATTTACTCAATAATTTGTTTCTATCAGTTTGTACTCATGGATGTTTGTTTTTGTTTGTTTGTTTGTTTTAAAGATTTTATTTATTTATTTGAGACAGAGAGCACATGAGAGGGGGGAGGGTCAGAGGGAGAAGCAGGCTCCCCGCCGAGCAGGGAGCCCGATGCAGGACTCAATCCAGGGACTCCAGGATCATGACCTGAGCCGAAGGCAGTCGCCCAACCAACTGAGCCACCCAGGCGCCCTGGATGTTTGTTTTAGCCTGTGGGCTATTATCCAATGCTAGCACTACTTGCTTGTCACTCAGTATCAAGTAGGGTGGACACATGCCTAATTCTGTCTGTCCAAAATGAGAAAAAAGAAGTAACCAATTAGCTCCTCTCCTCTGCTTGTGCACCCACCTCACTTCCTATTTCAGATCTCACCACGTCCTCTCCACTGAGGATAACCGGGACGTATCTGTGGGACCCTGGGCTGGGTCTTCGGATGATGCCTGCGCCTCTGGAGCCTGGCAGTTAACGTGCCTCCTACAGGACCCGGGGAACCCAATTTTGGCCCCTCTGGCCCAGGCACTAACTAAATGTGTTTCCCAACTAAAGACAAGTATTCCACCACTGCTCCCCAAGCTTCCATTTCTTTCTGTAAACTTAGGGTAACAGTAATACCTGTAACTCACTGGGCCGGGGGTGGGGTTTAAGATTCAAGAATATACAACACAGGCAAAGAATCCAGCACAACGTCTGACACGAGGAACATGTATTTTACAAATGTTTCCTATTAGACCTGCCATGATGATTACAAAATAAAGTTATTCTATTCTACTCTGGGCACAGTCCTCAGATGCAACGTGTTTATGTAATAAATGAATCAAAAAGAAGAAAATAATGCTAAATGGAAACATTCTTTCGGTCCCAGAATTACTGCTTTGGTTCAATTCAATGTTGCTTATGCACTATGAGCAATAACAGGAAAACACCATACTCACCTGTATTTTTGATTTCATTGCTTGAAGAGACTGGACCACAGGGATGCAGTAGGCAAGAGTTTTACCTTTTAAAAAAGTACAAAAGCAATTAAAATCACAGACCCTAAAGATGTAAGAAAAGCAAAGACAGTAAAGAAAATGGGCTCTGCTACCTCTAGGTAGCACTCAACTCTGGGGACGGGAAAAGTGCACATCCTACATCCAAGAGAGGCGAAAACAGAATTTGCCCGTCTGCCACAACCCCCAATTTTGTTTGTAAATCCAGTACTTCCCAAAAAACCTGCAGCTTCAGCTCCTTTATCCAGCTAACAAGGGAGACAATGACACATTTCCCAAGTTACACAAAAGCTCAACTTGAGGACTACCCCTCAAAGCTAGAAAACTTGAAAGTCCTCCTTAACCGTGCAAATGAGCTTTACGGCTAAGTGAACGACCTGCACGGCGCTGATGTGCTTAGGAGCCTGTCTGAACCCTGAGCCAGCCTCTAAAGACCGTGGAGAAACCACGAAGCTAAAGCTTCGGGTTTCCACCCACCTGAACGGTGGCTGAGCTGGGAGGCGTGGTGAATAGCCAACCTGCCATTCTGGGCACAAGAGGGGCAGAAGAACAAGTCTACAGACAATTTTGGAACATGCAAAACCTGTGTTCCGTATTAGAGCAAAACAACTGGCATCCAAGCAGTGTGTGCTCATGCCAGAGCTGTGCTTTAGTATCAGAAATATTCATCCCCCACTGGAGTGAGGAGGGCAGCTCAGGCCACAGACGGTGGGACTGGGCAGAGCCCTGACAGAGGCTGACCACCTCCCAATCGTTCCTGACCACAGCACCACCAACCACCCCCTGCCTTTCCCTAGGGGAACAAATTCGGGGTTCTCATCAAGAGCAGGTACGGCCTCCCTCCTTCCCCCAACAAAACAAAGCCACTGCCGCCACAGACAGACACTTTACTATGGAACCTACTATGTGAGTGTGGCCTGGGTATCAGGGGAAAGGGGGCAGAAGTTAAGTGACGACTGACCTGAGCCCGTCTGCGACCTCACCAGAGCATCTCTGCCTTCCAGCAACGCAGGAATACTTTGCTTCTGAACGCTTGGGCCACACAAAAGAAAGAACACATGCTGCACTATAATATTTTACCCTCTCCCGTTTACAGGCAGAGATGCAGGATACACAAATCACACCCGCCCCCATGCTTTGCTGCATCTGCCAACTGCTACCTCAGAAGTCACCTAAACATTCAAGCGAAGGTGCTGAGAAACTTTTGATGATTGAAGGGATAAAACCTCAGTTAAATTTCTGGAACTCAGCTGAAAATGCTGAGGCAAGCCAGGTATTGGCGGCTCTAGCAAACATTAAAAAGAAAAACGTCACAGGCATGATGACAAGCTGGAGCTCCCACGAGAGCATACCACACACCTCGCCCCACCCCCCGGCCTCCCGTGACAGGCAGGGAGACACAACAAGACGGGACAGAAAGATTCCCATGCAAGAGAGTACCAGGAAGCTTGTGAGCCATCCAGATAGCCTGGAGCTGCTTCCCAGTCTCCAAAAAACCGAGGTGTGACTATCATACACACACTAAGACGTGCGTCCACATGTGTATTTAAAAACAAACAAAAAGGGCACAGAATTCATTTAAATTTGGTTGATGAAACTGAACCAAAAAAATGGGCAAGGGGGGGGTCCTCCTTTTATTCTTCAAGACTCTTATTACCTTGTACCTATAAGTAAAATGTGACGATTAGTAAAATGTAAAATATAAACTATACATACTCACAAAAAGGAAGTTCATCTCTTCTCTACACCTTTTACTATTCTATTTTCCAAGAGTTATTACTATTAAACATTCAAAAAAATTTTTTTCAATATCCCATTATATCTGACCAAGTATTTACTCCAATCTTTTTGTTTGCCTCTAATTCTTACTACTAAAAAATGACCAGATAAATTCTATACTGTGGACATATTATCTTCAGGGTAGCACGGACAGCAGCGGGATCACCGGTTCAGAGCTGACAACAGAAGTACTTGAGGACTCAGTCTCTCCACTTAACAAGTGGGGGAACTGGGGGGTTAAGTGATGTGTCAAGCCCTGGATGGGCAACAATCTGGCAGTGTTCTCTAGTACGAAGACACAAATTTGCTCTGTGCTCCACAGATAATTCAAATTTCACTGGTCATACCCATTCAAGTCTTAACAAAAGCAACACTGGTCTGGAACCCTTACCTGGTCATACTAGTCATGTTTAAGACCGTATTTATTGTGGAAATCTAAAAGAGAACACACAAAATAAATATTTTTAACTACCGATTTTTTGGCACAAATAAATTTAATGCAAATGAGGATGCAAAGAAGGAGAAGATACTGGGATAAAACCAATGGCCATATTGAAGTTCTTCCAACCAGTGAGTGTTACCTGGGGGTGGTTCTGCCCAACATCCCCCCCCCGCCCCCCTACACACAGACACACACACACATGGCAATGTCTAAAGCAATTTTTTTTGTCCCAAGTGGGGCAGGGGATGCCACTGGTATCAAGTGAGTAGTCATAGAGTGCTGCTGAACATCCTACCATGCACAGGACGGTGCCCATGACAAAGAGTTATCCATCCCCAAATGTCCACAGCACAAACCTGCTCGATGTCCCTGCTCAAACCCATAGGTAAGAAAACAGCTTATGTAAGCAACCCTAAAGGAGTGAGCTGTGACCATAGGAGCAAAGGAAATCCAGACTCCCTGAAAGTTAATGCATTTTTCTCTTACTCATAAATAAGAGTGGAAACTTCATTCACAGTAAAAAAAAAAAAAAAAAAAAAAAAAAATCCATTTGTTTGTAGAACGTCTTCATTCAATTTAACGACAGACTACCCTTGATATGAAGATGCCAGCTCAGTTTCCTCTCCTATGGTCACTGTGAGCCCTGCCACCAAGATCAGCCTCCACGTCCCATCTACCCACTAATTAGGAGCTTGTCCTAGAGTCCAATAAGTGGAGCCCCAGGCCTAATTTGAATTAGGTTAGGAAAGTGTTTTGTTCTTTAAAAAGGGGGTGGGGATGGAGGTAAGGACAGTGAACAGTAACCTAGGCTCACTGGGATTGTCCTAGGAGAGCATCTTATCGATCTGACTTCACTCAGGTTAATTTGGAGCAGAAATAACCATTCTTTGATTTTTCTTCCTAAAACTGTCATTTCCCAGACATTCCCAAGAAATTAACCACACTGAAAAAACCAACCGCACAAGATACTGAGAGATACTTACTAAATGTGGGTGGAGGTCCAGTTCATGAAAAGCATCTGAAGTGAACACCTTTTCTTGCACCTGCTTTACTACAGGTCTGCAAATGATGAAGAAAACCCAGGTATCAGTTCCAATCGACAGAGAAAAAGGCAGAATACACTTAACTCCTCCTATTCCTGAGCGCACATGCCCCTGAACATACCTGTGGAGCTCTGGGATTTCAGGGTTGTTTTTAAATAACGATGAAGTCCTAATGCACGGTTTCTGTTCTTGGGTTCCATCACTCACACCAACCAAAGATTTCTTCGGAGAAAATGTTTTCTGTGCCTTCCCCTTAAAAGTCCTTTGTGTTTCTTTAGCAGCAGCTTTCTTGGCCAGGAGAAATGATGCCTCGTTCCTCTGTTTCGCTGGGGGAGCCTCACTGGATGCTTGGTGTTTTCTTTTGGTGGCCTCTGCTTGCTGCGTTGTTCCCAAAAGGCAAGAGCAACAAGAGATGCATTAGTCCATGAAGACAGACCTCAGAGTGAAGCCTGACTGCCCACAGAATTGCATCTCTCCCTGCAGAGATCATTATGCCCCATATGTCAAGCAACAGTTTAGGGTCTGCAATCAGATTCTTTGACTCAGCTTTTTTTTTTTTTTCCCCAAAAAGAAAAAAACAAAACAGAAAACACAAAAATCTCAGCTCATTCATACACTAGACCTCACCATCCATCCTCACCATCAACTCAACCAAGATGAGGGTAAGGATCAAGGGAGAAACCTTTGTGGGGCTGAACATGAACAAATGGGAGTCTCTTTTAAGGGAAGAGAAACCCACCTTGTGAAGTGTGCATGCTAAGTCAATCCTTATCCCTAGATGTCCATCTACACAAAAAGAACAGGGGAGGGGGGGAGCGCATCCTCTCTCTCCACCAACAAAGCCTGTTGGTGACTACACATGGGAGGCTGCAGCCCAGCCCATGCCCAGGAAGCAGAAACCTTCATTACTGCTCTACCCCAGAGTGCTTGGATCGCTGTCATCCTCCCCCTCACACTGCTCCCCCAGATTCAGATGGCTTGGAGATGATTCCTACTCCCGTTTCCATTCCAAATGAGAATTCTGCTCCATCCATCACTTCTACTACAATTATTTCCAACTCTCCTTGCCTTTCAGGTCCCCATCTGATCGCCAATTACAGGCTACAACACTCGGCATTTTCTTGCCTGTTGCTATTTCTGTAACATGGATGTGGCTACGTGTGTAATGTCCAAACTTCTCCCAGGAGAAGAAACAGCCAATTTTCTTTGAAGAAACATTCTGTTTTCTTTGGCCTTCTCTTCCAATTTACACGTGAATAAAAAAAAAACATCCCCTGAGTAGCCAGGGCTTATTATTCTGGCATTTTGGTTTCTCTTGGAATGTTATTTCCCCCTTTGCTGGAAATGACGGATTCCATTTACACATCAGCTTGCTTTTGGCTGTGATTGTCAGCTTCAGGCTAACCTACCAATAACAATACTTGTTTGTTCCTGACAACTACAGGACTCCTATATCTAAATAATTTAATAAACACCAACTTCGAATATTTACTATTAATAAAGTAAGTATTGACCTGCTCCATTTTACAAATCTATTCTTACAAAGTCCCAAATTTATGAATGTTCAGATTAAAGAAAAAGATAAAAGTCAAGTTCCAGATCTGCTGAATCATTTGCAAGGCACAATGAAATGTGCTGACGTTCCTTGATTTATGGAACTACAGATTCTCGGGGCATAAAAAGGCCTAAAGGCCACTCCCACCACACATACTATAAGCTCCCTGACAGGTGGCCTTGCAGTAGGCCTTGCCTACACACCTCCCTTTACTGTTCTCCATCCCTTGAGACACGAAATTCTAGGGGTTAGGAAGCTGTTTCTGACACTCAGACAAGATCCGCCACCTTGATCATCTATCTGCTAGTCTGTTTGCTTTCTGCAGCAACACAAAACAAGCTTACTTCCTCTTGTGCATCGCATTCCTTCACACATCATCTAACTTTCTGTTTCTTCTTTGGACTAAACAGTCCAAATAGAACACGAGCTTTCAATCCTTTCTCATCCCAGTCACCTTTTATTCTCATGTCCACTGTTCTCTAAAAGCAAGTATTCAGAATTAAGCACAATATTTCACAGGCTTTCCACGGCTCTCAGGCTAAAATCAAAAACCTATAATATGATCTACAAAGCCCTCTAGAAGCTGGACTCTGCCCATCTCACCAGCCTCAGCTGTCCTGGTCTTCCTTAATTCCTAGAATGCACCATGCTCCCTCCCTCCTCAGGGCCTTTGCACATGCTATTGCCATACCCATGTCTGCAACCCCCCTTTGGCTAGCTAACTCACTCATCCTTCAGATCTAGGCTTACTGGGTCCTCAGAAGAACCTTTCCTGACCTCTTCTCTCCACCCAGTCAGGCCAGGGCTCCTACTCTTGGCTCTCCTGGCACCCTTTTTCTTCGCTGTAGCACTCAGTGCAATTATGACAATTGTATATTGTCCCTCAGTACAATATACAAGCATCAAATGTAATCTGTTAAGTGGTGTCAGCCCTCCGCATTAGACTGTAAACTCCATAAGGAAATGGACAAGTCTGTCCTGCGTGGCACTGCATCCCCTGTAGGGCTCAAATCTTCCCAGAGTAAGTGCTCAATAAATGCTTGTAAGACGAACGACACACATGGAATTATCCCTTCCCATAATGTGGACACTATTCCACTGTTTGTTAGCTTTTCTGCCCCAGCATCCACAATACATTCATTTAAGAAACTGACCCCTCAGCAGCTGTCAACAAGTAGCTTGGTTCTGAGGATACAAGGCTAGAAAATTAGCCAAGCCCTTGAGGAGATCACAGATTAGTGAAGAGACAAAAGTATAAAACCACAAACCCAAACCTCTATTTGTACTCAGAAGAAATATGTACAAAGGATTACAAAAGCACAAAACAAGACTACCACGGCCTACGGCAAGGGGAAAGGAGGCCAGGAAACAGAAATGCTTCATGAGGTGGCATCTGAGCAAAGATGAGCTAGGACGTACCTGAATCTACTAAAAAGTCAGCTCTACGATGTTAAACAAATTACCTCCCTCTGAGTCTCTGTTCCTGTACCTGTAAAACGAGCGGGTTCTGGCAGATGACCTCTAAGGCCCATCTAGCCCTAAGTCTAAATACCATGTCTCTGATATTAATAAATATACCAGACCCCCGGCAATATGCTAAGTACTTAAGAGTTATCTAATGTATCAATACAGGTACTGGTATCATCCCATTTTAAGATGAGAACACTGAGGCAGAGATATGAGGTAATTTGTTCCAGGATCATTGGGGGATCCAGGTTTTGCTCAGGCCCTGATTCTACACCCAGGGTTCCTGATGATTATGCTATAATACTATTTATTAACTGTACCCTGTTTGGTTGGAAAACATCATGTGTAGTTTCAACCCTTGTTTGTTTTCTAGAAGGATATACACCAAAATGTTAACCAGAATTACCTCTGAGCATGGCAATTATGGGGTTTTTCACTTTAACATACTTCCCCTATTTCCTACAATAAACCTGGATTACTTGAATTGTCAAAAAACATTTTTAAAAAGAAAACACTACATACTGTTACATATAGCATCACTTAAGGTCTCGAGGCCTTCCCAAAGTCACTATATTAGTTACCCGTCCCAAATTCAGGCCACTGGCAAATTTGATTGGCATACCTGTAATTCTCATTCAAGACAAACAAAAAATGCAGATGCAGACGAGGGCACTGCAGACACTTGTCATCATCTTATTAATACACATCCTTTTGACACAGTGGTTCAAGCGATCATAAAGCCAGACATCCAATTTTTATTCCTTCAACTCACTCAAGGAGGTGTTAATAGCGCTTCCTCTGTGTTACTAGGCACCTCCAGGACACAAGCACCCCACTGACCTCCCGACACAGGGATTCCACTACTCAAAATGAAGCCAATATGACTTTATTTACCATTGGCATTTATTAAGTGCTTCTATGGGCCAGAAAATATATGGAGTCTTTATGTATATTATTTCATTTACTCCTCACAATAACTTTATATAAAGTAGACACTGTTTTGTTGTTTTTATCTATCCTTTATTTGGTGGACAATTTTATGTCTACCCTGCATTTTACAATCATTTTACAGATTGGAAAGTGAGGTTCAGAGCGGTGAAATAACTCCCCCAAGTTCACAAAACCCGCATGTTGCAAGGTGGGAATCTAATCCCAGGTCTGTCCTACTCCAAATCCCATGCTCCCAGTGGCTCTTCAGGACTTCCCCTTCCTCCTCCCAGAAGCAGCGACCCCACTGGCTAGCTGAAAACTCCTACTCCCAAACCTCTAAATCCTAAAGCTTGACTATCACTGAAAAACCACCAAAGAGAATCCTTATATGAACTCGAGGAATATCAGCTTCAACACATTGGTTGAACTGAACTTCGGCAATTGTCAGTGGAATTACCTGTCGCTTTCTGGAGAAAACACACACCTTCCCTGGCACGAGGTGGTATAATTTCTGGCCTCTGTGGTAACTCAGGATTCTACAACAGATTTTTCTGCCCTGCAGCCCTCCTCTATTCCAGGAGAGAAGTCAACCATCCTAGAAACCAGTTTTCATTTCTGGCTTCGTTTAAATTTAAAGCATCTTTCCCCTCCCTAGTGAGCGGCTTAAACTGGCGCTCCGTATTCTCTTTCCCCACTGCACGCTGGGTGAGCATCTATGCCATTTTTGAAAGCTCTTGAAGAAGACCTCTCGTCCAGTCCTCGTTCCTGAACCAAACAACCCTCAAATGAGGCAACGGTGGCTGAGAGAAGTTAGGAGGTGTGGCTGGCAAGTGCCCGGGCTGCCACTCACACCCCGGCGGCAGTTCCTAACTTGGGCTGGAATCAGCCTCCCATCCTTTACCCGACCTTCGGGGCCCTCCAACTAGCAGCCCGAACCAGCAGACGCCCCTCCGCATCCGCTCCGCGGCCGCCCAGAACATCCCCGCTGGGTGGTGTTCCGAGCTCAGACACGTGCGGTTCAGCGACTTCTCCAGAAGCTGCTAGACAGCCCACTTTCCCCCCTAACTCTGTCGGTAGTTCGAAACCCTACCCAGAGGCGAGGCGGCGGGCCCGGCCTCGGGTGCGGACGGCTCTGAAGCCGGGTCATAACTCACCCGGGTCCCCTGGGCCCGGCGGGGTCCCGGGAGCGTCCTGGGGGCGGCGGCCGGGGACTCCGGAACGTGGAGGAGCAGCCCGTCGGCGGCTGCCATGGCGCGCGGCGAGAAGCGGGCAGAGGCGGACACGGGCGAGCGCCGGCACCGGCTCGCGCGGCCGGACCTCTCGAAACCGGCCCACAGCTCGGCTCGGCCCCACGTGGGCGGCGCGCGAGGACCCCGCGTAGGTGCCCCGCCGGCTCCTGCGGCCGCGCCCCTTCCGGGTCCCGAAGGGCCAAGGGGCCACGGCGCCGGGGTCCCCGGACTGGGTGGCCGCTCCTTTTGGCGTCCCTCGCGGCTTGGCCCGCGGCGGGCGGTGCCACATGACACCCAGCCCTGGAGTTCATGCTAGTGAAGTTCTCTGAGTGCCTCTGAGAAACAAGGGGCCGTGTGCCACCTAGCCAACGTTTCCTTCGTTTGCTGCCGGGCTACCGCTTCCTCGGCACTTTAGTTACCCGGAGGTCTCTACAGGGGCCTGGGGCTCGGTCGCCCGGAGACGGAGCCCTCGAGGCCCCCTTCCCCTCGAGCACCTCCGCCGAGTCCGGGCGCTGCTCCGTCCAGCCCGCAGAGGAGGCTCGCTTTCTAGACAGGCAGCGCCTTGGCCACCTGGCAGGGCTGGGTCGCCTAGCAACGGCGGGGTCCTTCCTGGCTCGGCGGCGCTCCGGGCCTGAGGGGAGAAAGCCGCCGCGGAGGGCGCTGGGGGCCGGTGGCGGCGGCGGCGGCGCCAGAGGCGGCAACGGGACGGCGGCGCGGGATTGGCGCGCCCCGGAATCCGGCCTCTGCACTTGAGGGGAAATGAGCTCCGCCGACGAGGCCCGGGTGGGCCCCGCAGCCGACGGGCCTGCGCCGCCTGAGGAGGAGGAGGGCGAGGGGGGCGGCGAGGCGGGCGGGAAGGAGTCCGCGGCAGACGCGGCCCCCGGGCCCAGTGCCGCGTTCCGCTTCCTGGTAACTCGGCGGGAGCCGGCCGTGAAGCTGCAGTATGCGGTGAGCGGCTTGGAGCCGCTGGCCTGGTCCGAGGACCACCGCGTGTCCGTGTCCACGGCCCGTAGCATCGCTGTGCTGGAGCTCATCTGCGACGTGCACAATCCGGGCCAGGACCTGGTTATCCATCGCACCTCGGTGCCCGCTCCTCTCAACAGCTGCCTCCTCAAAGTAAGTCACCCCCTGGGCCCCAGCCCTGGGGGCTCCTTCTGCCCCCCGCCCGCGGCCGCGTTACCGGTCCCTGGGGAATCTTGGCCTGCGCCTACCAGCGATTCCCCTCGTCGCATCCAGAGCTTGGGGCTGAGTGGTTGGGGTCGCCGTATTTTAAAAAACAAAAATTCTCGCAGCCGTTTGCGCCCAGTTTTCCAGATCACCCACCCCCTTCCGACGCACACAGGTATCCCCGGAGCTTTCGTCGGAGCCAGGTCCTGCCTTCGCCCCGGCGCCTGCCCCACTGCTGGCGCTGATGACTCTCCCTGGTGCTTTCTGAGACTCCACCCCCTTTGACCCAACCCCAGACCTTGCCTCTACAGTTGCTCCTATTGTCTGGAATCGACTCCCAGAGGCCCTTGTCTGGCTTTGTTTACGGTGACGTGCCCTCCTCTTGTTCCTCTTCTGCTTTGGAGAAGAAAATTTGGTCCTTTTCATTGCCTCAGCTATCTTAGCGACTTTATTATATGAATGTTCCTTCTCACCTTGAGTAGCTGGGTAGTCTAGTTTTTTCTTTTATAGCTGAAAATCTTTGGGATTGGAGTGAAAAGGAAAGCTTTTGGAAATAAATGCGGTTCTTAAACTTCAAGGCCTCTGTAGATGTAGTGTTTTCAGCTTCGTATAAATTAAGTTTGCCTTCAGAACTTTAGGGTTCCTAGTTTTACTGTTTCAATATCACTATCTTCAAGTTTATTTTTTTGCCCAAATAGTAAATCAGATCGTTCATTTGTGGCTTAGAAGTATAAAAACTTTCCCTGTCTCCTTTGTAAATCTTTATGCGTATACGTGAGCTATAGAGAGTATATGTTCACTCATTTAGCAGATATTTGAATAGCCCCACGTATCAGCTAGGTGCTGATCTAGGCTCTGGAAATAAAGCAGTGTACAAAACCAAGTTCCTGCCCTCATGGAGCTTACATTCTTTAGCAAGTCATGAGCCAGGTACAACTGTAATATCAGATAGTGATAAGCATTATAAAGGTATATATCTATGCCCAGAGAATGTGTTTATGTGAAAATGAAAGGTTTTTAAACTTTTTTTCTGCACTGCCATTTTTTTTTTTTAAGATTTTATTTATTTATTTGAGAGAGAGAGAGAGAGCTTGAGAGGGGTAGGGTCAGAGGGAGAAGCAGACTCCCCGCTGAGCAGGGAGCCCAATGGGGGACTCGATCCCGGGACTCCAGGATCATGACCTGAGCCGAAGGCAGTCGCTTAACCAACTGAGCCACCCAGGTGCCCCTGCACTGCCATTTTAAATATGAATCATTAGCTGTGGGTATGGTATAGGGAGCCCACACCACTTTTTTTTTTTTTTTTTTTAGCACACTTGAAAGTTTTAAACAATTCGTTGTTGAGTTAAATCACTGGTAGACTGATATGACTAAACCCTGAATGTCTTGGAGAAGATATGAACAAATTGGTTCGAGTATAATCACATCAGGTAGACGGATAGTGGTAATACTGTGAAATTGAGAAATGGATGGAGGCAGAAGAAAGGGGCTTTAAAAGATATATTCTTACCATTTCTAAGGATGTTCATGTGTACATGAACTAGAGAAAACTAAGTGTGTGTGTCCAATGTGGTCCAGATTTAATGCTTTAACAGAGAATTTCTTTTTTTTTTAATTTAATTTTTTTTTTAAAGATTTTATTTGACAGAGAGAAAGCACAAGTAGGCAGAGCGGCAGGCAGAGGGAGAAGGAGAATCAGGCTCCCTGCTGAGCAGAGAGACCGATTTGGGGCTCTATCCCAGGACCCTGGGATCATGACCCGAGCCAAAGGCAGACACTTAACTGAGCCACCCAGGCGCCCCAGCAGAGAGGATTATTTAAGGGGGGGGGGAAGGGCAGAGGGAGAGAGAGATTCTTAAGCAGGCTCCATGCCCATCACAGAGCCTGTCGAGGGGCTCAATCCCACGACCCTGAGATCGTGATCTCAGCTGAAACTGAGAGTCAGGATGCTTAACCGACTGAGCCACATAGGCACCCCTAGCAGAGAGAATTTAAAGAATGGAAGGAATAGTGAGGGGAGGCACTTACATCAGGGAATGTTATCTGGTGGTGAATCTGAAGGAGACCTGAAAGAACGTAGGATTTGTTTTGTAAGAGGAGCAGAGGAAAGGGGCATCCAGGTAACAGGAATGAGTTGTCCATCTTATTCACCTACATAATTAAGTCACAGGCATACTTTATTGTTTATGTAAGTAATGATGGATTAACAGACGATCTCTTCTAGAGAGAGAAAGTGAGGTGAGGCCAATTTGGGAACTTAGGAAGGTCAGTCTGAAGAAGTTGGCTTCAATTTAGGAAGCCCAAAGGTGCTGTAACAGTTTCATAAGCATGGACTGGCCTGGGATGGTTCAGGAATATGAATCTGGTGGGCCTAGAGGCAAGAAAACAATTATTGGGGTCAGTATAAAATAGAGGGTACAAATTTGGGCTTTGGCACAAAATAGCAGGATAGGCCTGTCTGTACAAGGGGGATGATAAAACCTGTGTTGTTTAGACTTTTTTTTTTTGAGAGAAAGAGATAATGCATGTGCACAAGGGGTGGGGAGGGGCAGAGGGAGAGGAAAAGAATATTAAGCAGGTTCCATGCCCAGCATGGAGCCTGACATGGGGCTTGATCTCATTACCCTGAGATCCTGACCTGAGCCAAAATCAAGAGTCTGACGCCTGACCAACTGATCCACTCAGGGGCCCCTAGACTTTTTGGAGGATTAAATACATATATGTATGTATGTGCATATATAGATACGTATATATGTATACGCAGATAATCACTTAGTACAGTGTCTTGCAGCCTGTAAATACGCAAAGTAATAAATTTGGTCATGCAGGTATGAAGAAATAAGGGTCTGGATTAATACTGTAGCTGTGGATATGAAGATATCCATAATATTCTGATAAAAATTGGCACTCTCATTGGTTGTACAACTGTCTAATAAGTAATAGGAAATCTTTTGTATTCTGCTTGTAATTGGTAGATAGCCTGCCTGAAGTTAATTAGTGGCATCTTCCCCTCCTGTACTGTTCTTTGGTATGCGCATCACACAAACCATCCATCAGTTAGCAGTCTTCATAGACTAGGACCATTTGGTGAATGAATGCCGAGTTGTCCCTGCAATTCTGAAAGGGCCTCTGTCGTGTAAATCTGGGCTGCAGTGGTAGGAATGTAAAGAAGTCTGTATCAGTACTTTGATGGCTTTACCCTTTGGCAGTGCCTAGGGATTTAAGCTGCTCAGAACTGTCCAGCTTGCCTTTGCTCTGACATGAAAGGTGGCCATTCTGCAGCCTGGATCAGTTTAGTGTATGGCCCTGCTAGAAGGCTAGATGCTCAGCTCCTCTGAAGCTTTTGCTCTATGACCCCATTATTTAGATTATGAATTTTAAGAAAATATGCAGTTATATAAAATAGTTCATATATTATCTGCTATTTGCAAGTTACTGTCCTGGACACTGAGTTTATGATATCAAGGAGACTGATAAAAGTGAATGATATGAAAAGCAATAAAATTGTGATTTAAGAATAATTTGTAATTTTTCTTCCCATTGGAGTGCTGATTTAGCGAATCATCTAATTGGATACAGTCCCAAATTCTAATAATATTTGTATAACTAATTTTATTCTGCATAAATTGTTAGGAGCATGAGAAAGTACTAACTCCATCCACATTAAGTTAAATAACTATGGGCTGTCTTTGGAATCCTATTCCTACCTTCAAGAAGCTTCTTGTAGAATAGCTTCAAGTGAATTTCTGTTCATTAGGTGCTTACAAAGGAATTAGCTATTAGTAGTAATAGTGGCCAATTGGAAACAGGATAGTATATAATTAAATGATTGGCTGGGTGTGGTCCTCTGGGAGCTGGACTCCTATGTGATGTGCTCCTTGGCCAATCTCAGTACGTGTTTAAATTTGATGGCTGGTTTTGTGACATGGAGACTTGGAGGGGCAGTGTACTCATTCAAACTAATATATGAGAAATTACTACACAAAACTATTCAGGTTTTCCCTGCTGTTTAAATCCAAGCTGCTCTCTATCTTGTCAAGAATTCTTCCTACGGTGAGTGAGACCAAGGGTTGCTTTTATTTCACCCTCTGCTGCTATTTCGGGTTATAGGTCCTGTGACGTTTACTTTTAGTTCTAGAGTAGCTTTTATTTGTAGTAAATTTACCTATTCTAAGGGTTATTGCTTAGTATACAGTGTTATAAGATTTGGTGATTTTTATATCTACCCTTTATTTGGTGGACAATTTTGTATCTACCCTGCATCTTACATACTTTTATTAGGTCTCATTAACTTTTACTTAATTCCCAGAGAGTATTTATCCTCCTCCTTCTGCTCCTCCTCCTCATCACTAACATTTATTGACACTTATTAATAGATGCTTTACAGGTGTCTGGCAGCTCAGCCAGTAAGGACATTTTTATCTCAGAGTGGTGAGTTCAAGTCCCAAGTTGGGCGTGGAGCCTACTTAAAAGATGCTTTACATATATTGACTTATTTAACTTTCCTGACGCTATGAGACATGTATTATTGTTCTCTTTTTATAAATGAGAAAATTAGGGCCAGAAAGTTTAAGTAATTTGTGCAGGGTCACAGAGCTAGTGTCTGATAGAGCCAGGATTTGAACCCAGGTAGTCTGGCATCATAGCACAGATTTTCAGATGTTAGGCTTCATTCTGTCATATTTCAAATTTTATCTACCCATACAAAGCTCTGGGCTTTGATTAGCATTATTTTGTTAACAGGCTAGCCAGCTGCACCTCTGTTTAGTTGGGCTTTCCAGTCTGTTTTTCTCCAGCATGTCCATTAGTGTATCCAAGAGGCTACCTTAAATGCCTTTCTAAATCAAGATATACTGCCTAAGACACCATTTTCAGAGTATTCTTTAGGATAATACAGGATGACACTACCCAACAAGGTTCTATTGTTTAAAAAAAAAAAAAAAGTTTGGAAAACTCTGGTTAAGTCAGCAGCTCCCTGGCCAAGGCATTTAATGTGTTCCTGAGACCCTTCAAGGAGAAATGATGTGTAACATACAACGTTCCCAAGACTTATTTGGCCACAGGACTCTTTTTCAAGGGACAATTTAGGGGAGTAGTGTTCTACGTAACACACTTTAGGAAAAGTTAGTCATCTCATTCATTTGTCGGATAACTTTTTATTTACTTTTCTATGCTTATTATGTCATTTAGCAGTTTCAGCAGAAAAGACAGTAAGATTAGATTTTTCCGATTATCCTATGCTGGTTTCTAAGGATCACTTCTGTCCACACAAATGTTTCTTTTTCTTTCTTTCTTTCTTTCTTTTTTTAAGATTTATTTGTTTAGGAGCGCCTGGGTGGTTCAGTCAGTTAAGCATCTGCCTTTGGCTCAAGTCATGATCCCAGGGTCTGGTATCTAGCCTGGCATCTGGCTCCAGGCTCCCTATTCAGTGGGAGTCTGTTTATCCCTTTCCCTCTGCACGCCCCCCCCCCCCACACACTCATGCTTTCTCTTCCTAAAATAGAGAGAGAGCGTATGCGACTGTGCTGGGGGAGAAGGAGAGGGAGAATCCCAAGTAGACTCCCCGCTGAGCACAGAGTCCAACACGAGACTCAACCCTACAACCCCTGAGGTCATGACCTGAGCCGAAACTAGAGTCGGACACCTAACTAACTGAGCCACCCAGGCACTTCACAAACCTTTCATTGTTAACAACTGAGGGATTTTATTTCCTAGCAGGCTTAATGGTCTGTAATATTTGTTACCTATTTTCTGTTTAGGGGATATTTTAAAGATTTTTTTTTTTTTTTTTTAATTTGACAGAGACACCGCGAGAGAGGGAACAAGCAGGGGGAGTGGGAGAGGGAGAAGCAGGCTTCCCGCAGAGCAGGGAGCCCGATGCAGGGCTCGATCCCAGGACCCTGGGATCATGACCTGAGCTGAAGGCAGACACTTAATGACTGAGCCATTAAAAATGAGCTGAGCCATACAACTGTTTATTGTATTCTGGTTTTCTGATACATTCCTAGTTATCCAAGCTTTATCAAGGACTAGTCAGTCGTTTGGAGTTCAACATCTTCAAAGTTTATCCTGTGTCCTGGAGTGTAATTCCTCTGGGCTTGGGGACTTAAACTCATTTAGCTTGACTTTTATTGTATCCATATATGTCTTAGGCTTGAATTCCTTTGTAATCATGTAATAACTACCCTTTCCAGTTTAAAGATCAGCCTCTACGTAAAAGGAGATTGTCACTAAATCTGAAAGAGTCTGCTTGCTTTCTCTGGATCAATATCTCTAAAGACAGTAGGGTCAAGTGCTTTCCTCTTCCTGCTTTGCACATATCAGAAGACATACTTCAGTTGACTTCTGCTTTGTTTTGGCTTTAACCTTCCTGGCCCTGGATCTCTTTCTTTTGGTCATTTATCTCTTTCTTTGTTTTTAATGTCCCTTTAAAATCTTTTTAAAGAGCTTGCCATTGTACATCCAGGCACTAAATAAACAGCAGTGCTGATATGTGTCACAAACTTGGAGAAGGGAGAGATGGGTGAAAGCCAGAAAGATCTCAGAAGGCTTCAGAGAGAGAATTAGACCTGGTAGGATGGATGGGATTTAGATAGGAAGACAGCATTCCAGACAAGGGGCCCAAGGGAGGCCAAGGAGGGAATACTCAAGGAATGGCAAGTAGTCTAATCAGAGTGGACATTATTCTATACAAACAGTGGACAGAGTGGTTGGAAGTTGGCTTTCAGCATAGTTTCTAAGTGAAATTTTAAATAGAAACTTAAAGCTCACATTTGTATCACAAAGACCTTGTAAAAATCCAAATATCCAATTGTATCAAAGATGTATATGGGTATGTGTTTTAATGAATACTGAACATGTTTATGGTTTTGTGACTAGTTCAGCTAAATGCTCTGTTGACTCTTAAGGATCAAGTACATCTCTGTCATGGCTATTGCTTATGGCAGTTCTAAGAAGAATGTGGGAACCAGGCTTTGAATAATGGCAACATTTATTCTGATCCTTGAAAAAATTTTTACTTCCTGAGTAAGTACTCCTTAACTTTCAGACATGTACTTGATCTTTTAAATGCGTGTCTTTCAAAATTAACAGGATTGATACAAAATTCTGACCCAGTTAATACTGATTAATCAGTTAGTACCCTAAGTAATGTAAATGTATTCCTCTTAGAGTGCAGTATTTATCTGATAGTTTTTGTATCTCTTCTTTTCAGGTTGGCTCAAAAGCAGAGGTTGCTGAGTGTAAGGAGAAATTTGCCACCTCGAAAGACCCCACAGTCAGTCAGACTTTCATGTTGGATAGGGTGTTCAACCCTGAGGGGAAGGCATTGCCACCAATGAGGGGATTCAAGTATACTAGCTGGTCCCCCATGGGTTGCGATGCAAATGGCAGGTGCCTCTTGGCAGCACTGACCATGGACAATCGCCTGACCATCCAGGCTAACCTCAACAGACTACAGTGGGTCCAGCTGGTTGATCTGACTGAGATTTATGGAGAACGTCTTTATGAGACCAGTTACAGGCTCTCTAAAAATGAGGCTCCAGAGGGGAACCTCGGGGACTTCGCGGAGTTTCAGAGGAGACACAGCATGCAGACACCGGTCAGAATGGAGTGGTCGGGCATCTGTACCACTCAGCAGGTCAAGCATAACAACGAGTGCCGGGATGTGGGCAGTGTGCTCCTGGCAGTCCTCTTTGAGAACGGTAACATTGCTGTGTGGCAGTTTCAGCTGCCCTTTGTAGGAAAGGAATCCATCTCTTCGTGCAACACGATTGAGTCAGGAATCAACTCTCCTAGTGTTTTGTTTTGGTGGGAATATGAGCACAATAATCGGAAAATGAGCGGCCTTATTGTGGGGAGTGCTTTTGGACCTGTAAAAATTCTTCCTGTCAATCTCAAAGCAGTGAAAGGCTATTTCACTTTAAGGCAGCCCGTTGTCTTGTGGAAAGAAATGGACCAGTTGCCAGTGCACAGCATTAAATGTGTTCCGCTTTATCACCCTTACCAGAAGTGTAGTTGTAGCTTAGTGGTGGCTGCGAGAGGATCCTATGTGTTTTGGTGTCTTCTTCTGATCTCCAAAGCAGGTCTCAATGTCCACAATTCCCATGTCACAGGCCTTCACTCACTGCCAATTGTCTCCATGACTGCAGACAAGCAGAATGGAACAGTATATACTTGTTCCAGTGATGGGAAGGTGAGGCAGCTGATTCCCATTTTCACTGATGTCGCATTAAAGTTTGAACACCAGTTAATTAAACTCTCAGATGTGTTTGGCTCAGTGAGGACACACGGGATAGCAGTGAGCCCCTGCGGCGCATATCTGGCCGTCATTACAACTGAGGGCATGGTCAACGGCCTCCATCCCGTGAACAAAAACCACCAGGTCCAGTTTGTTACTCTCAAGACCTTTGAAGAGGCAGCTGCTCAGCTCCTGGAATCTTCAGTTCAAAATCTCTTCAAGCAGGTAGATTTAATAGATCTTGTACGCTGGAAGATTTTAAAAGATAAACATATCCCTCAATTTTTACAAGAAGCTTTGGAAAAAAAGATTGAAAGCAGCGGGGCCACCTATTTTTGGCGTTTCAAACTTTTCCTCCTGAGGATTTTATATCAGTCAATGCAGAAAACCCCTTCAGAAGCATTATGGAAACCCACCCATGAGGACTCCAAAATCTTATTAGTTGACTCCCCTGGAATGGGCAATGCTGAGGAAGAACAGCAGGAGGAAGGCACGTCTTCCAAACAGGCGAATAGGCAGGGCCTGCAGGAGCGGAGCAGAGAGGGCGACCCGGAGGACCCCACCGACGATTCCCTGACCCAGGCTGGAGATGCCGGGGGCCGTGAGCCAATGGAAGAGAAGCTCTTGGAGATCCAAGGGAAAATTGAAGCTGTGGAAATGCACTTGACCAGGGAGCACATGAAGCGAGTCTTAGGTGAGGTGTACCTGCACACCTGGATCACAGAGAACACTAGCATCCCCACCAGGGGCCTCTGTAACTTCCTGATGTCTGACGAGGAGTATGATGACCGAACAGCACGGGTAGGTATTTTCTTAGCAGAAAACACTAAAACTGTAAAAGGTCTGCTTCCTTCATGTGGGAGAAATGGTCTAAGTGGCATTCCTAACCCAACTTTTGCTTTGATATTTTGTAGGTAGTTGATTGGCATGAGGTGCAGGAGAATAAATAGGAAACATAGATTAATGCAGAGGACACATTCAAATCACACAAAGAATATTTTGATTCTTCCTCTCACCATGGCCTTTATTGATAGGCAAGGTTTATGGGCTGAGATTCCCCAGGCCGTGGATGAGCTGGAGGAGGCTTCAGTTAGCAAGTAGTATGTGATTGGGCGGTCACAGCAGGGGTAGGGTGACACCGTGCTTTCTTCCCTTCCTTTTTGCAAAAGGTTCTGGAAGAATGGGGATTGGAGGTAGCACAGGGATTGGTCACACTTGGGAGGAGTTGAGATCTTTTTATGTAGTCAGGGAGGGCATGTTAAAGTAAGCAAATTATTACTCATAATGTTTTACAAAACTGGGCATAATCTTTATTTTGATTTAGAAGCATCTTAGACTCTTATCCAAAATGTATTCCACAGAATTCAAGTTCCTGATAGAACACTAGGATTCTAAGCTTGAGGAAATGCTGTATACTCTGTCCTCCTCTTCGAGGTTCCCAGTATCCCTTAGCCTTCTAAGGATTCTGAGAATTCCTGCAGAAGAGACACCATTTAACTTTCTGTAGCTCGTTGTTATCCTGACATCAGGGAACCTTTCTTTGTGAACTAACAGCTGCTAAAATCCTGAAGAACAGCAACAAAAAAATTATATAAACCTGAAGAACTTGTGTTGCAAGGAACATAGTTTATACTAAAATATTCAAAACCACAAAAGTGTGTGTTCCTTTTTATTGTTATGGCACTTATTCTCACTGCCTAGAGTCTTACTTAAAATTGAAGGTAATAAATTAAAATATCATCATGCCTAATGTTAAACCACTCACAAATTCCTTGTTGCGTTTGCTTATCGGAAAATTGTGTGTGTGTGTGTGTGCGCGCGTGTGTGTGTGTCCACCCCTAAAATCATTACTCACAGGATATTTGCAGTAATCTCAAGAATAGTTACGATGTCCCTTTCATGTAACTGACTTTTCATCTTTGAAAGTCAGCTTTTAAAAATTGTTTCATTGTGGTCTGAATCATGCAGAAGAGTTTCCTGGTGGTCATTTTTCACAGGACCTAGCAGGAATATTACAAGAGTCAGTGGAAGATTGACAAAACATTTTAGGAAGTATGTGGTGGGAGCTGGCGGGAATGGTTTAGGTACTTGTCCACGTGTGGCATGAGCGCGGGAACCACCAGCATAGTGACAGGGCCCCGGCAGAGCTAGTTTAAAGAAGGGAAGATGGTACCTCTGCTTATTGATATAACCGAGTTTTGATTAGAAACACTGCATTTCATGTCTTAAAAAATCCCACTAAGTGCATAAAATGAACCTTTTCAAACCTAGTGCATTGATGTACTAGTAATTATGAATTGTTTCTGAGATTCTCAGCCTGGTGTGTTGGTGCAGTTAGACCAACAGTTTTTATTATCGCCACGACCGCCCCCCTCTCCCCCCCACCCCCGCCCAGCGTTTTTAGGCTTTTTTTCCTAATTGTTCCTGCCTGTGACATTCTAATAACAATACAGCTATATTTTGTATGTATTTGTGATACATACTTAAATGCACTTTATGCCTAAAAAGGGTAAGAATTTTTGTCCCCCCAAGAACCAGTATTTGCCCCTTGGAAGGAATAATGTCTCCCCCTCTGGGGATGTGTGAATTATACTAACACAGGTGGGCCTGCATGGTTGAGGCTAGTGAGAGCACATAGAAGCAGTTCTTCCTCGTGTAAAATTTTAGTGTATCTCTCGTGGAGGAATTCTAAGCAGATTGTGTCATGGCAAAATCCCTGCTGGAAGGGACCATAAATTAGAATTCTTAAGGCTGAAAAAACAAAAAACCAAAAGCCAATGGGCTTTAGGTTTGTAAATTATATACAGTGTAGGTAAGACACTCTTCTGAGCTATTAAGATACCTTCAAAACTTCAGTGAACTAATTTTAGTGAATGGTTGAAGTAGAGAGTTCTTTCACAAGAACTTAAGTATAAATGGATTAAAAACCTCGAAGGACATTATCTCCTAGTAAGATGAGAGTTCTTTTTTTTTTTTAAGATGAGAGTTCTTGAGGCTTGGTGTTTCCCATGCCTCCAAATGATGTAGCCAGGGAAGGTTTTTTCAACAAAATAATGAAACAGATCGTTTTTTAGACTTTCGTTTTTAAAGTGGTGTAATCCTAATAAAACAGAGAAAAGCAAAGCTGAAGTAGGGTCAGGGTCTAGAGCCCGCCCTGTCGACCTCTCTCTCTACCACTCCTCGCTGCCACAGCGGGGCCCACCCTGCTTCTGCAGTGAGGCTCAGTGGATCGCAGGCTGCAGGCTGCTAGGCTAGATTGGTCGTGGGTCTTGGGGCTATCAGAAAGGGAAATTTTCTTTTTTAATCCTGATTATATTTGTACTTTGTAAGCCTCTCTTAAAGAATGGATATTTGTACAATTCTACAAAGTTGGTATTTCACATAATACTTGGCCCATAGAGATGATCTTTTTCCTTAAAGTCAATACGTTATAAAGAAGAGCTAAATACTTTGTTTTCCAACAGAACTCTGAACTCCATGTTTCAGGAGCTGCTAAAACAAGGCAAGTGATAAGATTTTGGTTTTCAGAACAGTTCTTCCTTTAGTGGTTGGGGTTCACCGTGTTGTCACAGGGTCCCTGAATGAATTTATCCTACTCAGCCAGTCGACACACGGTGAGGGTCTAGCTTGGTCGCGTCCAGACAGTATGACCAGCCTACGTGGAAATGCAAATCTCCTGGCTTGTGTACGGCCCAGCGTACGCTTTCATCCCTCCGTCGTGGCAGGAGGCTTTGTCTGCAGGAAGTCTCGCACTCAGACCGCTGAACATTGCTACTGCTTTGTCTCACTAGGTGCTGATTGGACACATCTCAAAGAAGATGAACAAACAGACTTTCCCTGAGCACTGCAGTTTGTGTAAAGAGATCTTGCCATTCACGGATCGCAAACAGGCAGTCTGCTCCAATGGCCACATTTGGCTCCGGTAAGCCATTTTAAGCCAGACCCTGCTTTTGCTCATTTTCCAGTTTTGTGTAGCACAAGCCCCTCTAAAGTGTTCATGCGAAATGCATGTTGTCTGTGCCACTAGGTGGGAGAAAAGCTGCTGTTAAAAAGCAAGATGTAGGCTTTTTTTATCAGTCTAAGGCAGGAC